GGCCTGCTCCCCCCACAACTGCTCTCCCCTGCAGTCCTGGGTTTCCTTCAACTGCCCTTCCCTGCAGGCCCTGTCGCCCCCAACTTCCCTCCTTTGCTGGCCTGTTCACCCATAACTGCCCTCCCTGCAGACTTGATCACCCTCAACTGCTCTCCCCTGCAGGCCTGGTCCCTCCAAACTGCCCTTCCCTGCTGGCCTGATTGCTCACAATTGCCCTCCCCTGTATTCTTGATCCCTCTCAACTGCCCTCTCCTGCTGGCCATTTTGTGGTAGCTATCTTGTGTCAACATGAGGGCAGCCATCTTTGACCAAATAGGGACAGCCATCTTGTGTGTTGGAGTGATGGTCAATTTGCATATTACTTTTATTTGATTGGATAATAGAGTAAATTATGAAGAACAAATGATAAGTTTATTTGGTATCTTTTGAATATTATTGAATATAGCCGGGACCAGTTTGGCTCAGTGGATAGAGCATCGGCCTGCGGACTGAAAGGTTCCGGGTTCAATTCCAGGCAAGGGCATGTACCTTGGTTGTGGGCATATCCTCAGTCGGGGGTGTGCAAGAGGCAGCTGATCGATGATTCTCTCTCATCGATGTTTCTAACTCTCTATCCCTCTCTCTTCCTCTCTGTGAAAAATCAATAAAATATATTAAAAAAAGTTTTTTGAATATTGTTGAATTATAGACTTGAAAATATGCATAAGCTAACTTTCATAGCTACAGTAATTTTACTGGTGCAGTAGTTGTGCCAATTCAAAGAACAACATACGCTAATTAGTATAGGCCTTAGTGTTTCTATTTAATGGACACCGATTTCGTTTATGATATGTAAAATCCAAGCAGGACATGCTAACTTAGTTCCAGTGAAACAGTCTGAAAAGTATCTTCATTACTTGTTTATTTTTTGTTAATCCTCACTCAAGGATATTTTTCCCATTGATTTTTTTTTTTTTTTTTTTTTTTTTTTTTTTTTAGAGAAGTTGGAAGGGAGGGGGAAATATCGATGTGAGAGACATACATCGATTAGTTGCCTCCTGCATGTACCCTGATGAGGCCGAGATCAAGCCTATAACATAGGTACATGCTATGGGCTGATACTCTAACCACTGAGAAAACTAGATAGGGCTTCTATTAGTTTTAAAAACCAGCCAATTAAGGATGAAAAGGTAAATTTTTACTGAAATAGTTTCTCTGACACCAAGAGATATCTCAGTTATTCCTGCTCTTGGCTCTCTACCAAAATTACATTGCTGAGTGATTCAAAAACTTGGTCATGAAAAAGTTTATTCTCTAAATTAATGTCAGCAAACTATAACCTATGGACCAAATCTTGCCTATATGTAAAATTTTATTTGAACACAGCCACACTCATTAATTTACATTTTTTCTGTGCCTGTTGTGGTGCTATAATGATAGCGTCGAGTAGTTGTGGATCAAATGATCCACAAAGCCTAAAATATTTACTATTATCTAGTCTTTTAGGGAAAAGTGCTGACTCCTGCTCTATCTCTTAAGTCTTTCGTAGTCAGCTCATGTTAAAGCTCTGGTGGAGATTTATGTGGTTAGTATTTTTGTGTTGTTTCCATTCTAAGAAAATACTTTTTTTTTTTTTAATGTCATTTTGTGTTGTTAGTGCCCAGCTTTCTTATCCATAAGTAGGTATAATACCACCTATGAGAAATTAATGAGAAATGTAAAGTACTTAGGCATCCAGAGAGAATTCAAGCAATGGGGAGATATAATCAGGGAAGTCTAAGTGTTTATTTGGGTGATTTAGGATGACATGTTTTTAGAGATTCTGATTTTACACAGAGCTGACAGTAATGGCCTAGTTTATCCAGGATTTTAATATAACGTTACTGATTAACTTTCCTCCGTGCTTTTCTTCTTTCTTCCGTCCCTGCCTTTATCCCTCTCTCCCTTTTTCTTTTCTTTCATCTCTTCCTCTTAGTCTTCATACCTTCTTTTCTCTTTCTTTCTTTTTTTTTTTTTTTAAATCTTTACCTGAGAAAATATTTATTAAATTGGTTTTTTTTTTTTTTTTTTTTTTTTTTTTTTTTTTTTTTTTTAAGAGAGAGAGAAAGGGAGGGACGGGACGGGGCAGAAACATTGATGTAAGAGAGAAACTTTGATCAGTTGCCTCCTGTAAACATCCCCCTAGGTGATTGAACCTGCAACCCTGTTAGGTGCCCTGACCAGAATAGAAACCACAACCTTTTGCTGTGCAATACAATGCTCCAACCAGCTGAGCCACCCAGCCAGGGCTCTCTTTTCTTTTTTATATATGTAAGCATTGCTACTAAGTTAAGGTCAGTGGGTAGCTACTCTAGGGGGAGTATGCAGAGAACCTAACACAGAAGAATCTCCCTTATTTTTAATTCCAGTCTCTAGGAAGCAGAGGAACATTAAAATCTTGTAATATCCTTCACCACCCTCTATTCTTATTAGCAGCCATCTATGTATATGTAAAATTTACTTCCACTACAGCAAATTTTAGGGTAGTTTTTTCGTTTGCCCTGAACCATGATGCCTAAGGGTTCATTTAGGCAGGCATGTTTTTTTTTTTTTCTTCTAGAAGACAGGATAGATTATTCCTAATGTTTTGAAAGAAATTAAAAGATTTAGTGATGATAAAATCAAGCCTATCAGTCTTATATTGTAAGCACCTCGTAGTTATTTTCTTTTTTAAAATATATTTTATTGATTTTTTACAGAGAGGAAGGAAGAGGGATAGAGAACTAGAAACAACGATGAGAGAGAAACATCAACCAGCTGCCTCCTGCATGCCCCCTACTGGGGATGTGCCCGGAACCAAGGTACATGCCTTTGACCAGAATTGAACCTGGGACCTTTCAGCCCTCAGACAAATGCTCTATCCACTGAGCCAAACTGGTTTCTGCTTAGTTTTCTTGTTTCATGAAAACATAAGCTTAAAAAGTTGTTATTTTACTTGATAGGTATTTTTAGGAGATCAATTTGAAACCTGGGACCTAGCCCTTTCTAGTTTTTATAAAACCAACAGTAATATAACAGAGCAAGGAAAAAGAACCTTAGAACGTGTTTTGTTTTAATCATCATTTATTATTATTTTGTGGTAGTTTTTAGATTTTGTAGGTGTTAGGAGAAAAGATATGGAAAAGAGGTGAATTCTAGGATGATTATTATAATAGTGACTCTTCTGTTTTAATTTAACTAAATTCTTTTATTTGTGGTTTCAAAGGAGTTAAAGTGGGTCAGAATTTCTCATTGAATGTTTCTACAATTTGAAAGCTAATAAAATTCATTAAACCTAAATTTTATATACTACCATTCTATTAAAGGAAAGTGTCTTTCTGTTGTCTCATCTATAATAATAAAAGCCCAATATGCAAATTGACCGAAAGGCCAAACAGTGGAATGACTTGTCTGGATGACCACACTATGATACCCACTGGCGCCATGCCAGCCAAAGAAGGTGCAATGTGATTGGTTGGGGGCCCCACCATTGTCCCATGATCACCTGGCAGAGGGAGGCCCAGGACACTGACAGGCTGTGGTGGGTGGGAGGGGCCTCCCTCTACTTGGCAATTGATCGTGGGGAGGGAGCATGAGAGGGGGCAGGCTGGGCTGAGGGACCCCCTCCTTCAGTGTATGAATTTCATGCACCGGGCCTCTAGTTTATAAGAAGATGAGATTTTTGGTAGAGGTAGGTATTAATTCCTAATTCTTTTAATCTGGGAGTCACAAAGGAACATGGAATGGTTTTCTTAGAGCTGCAGTTGAGTGAGTATAAAGTTAAGGTTATAAATGTTGAATGTACTTTATTTAGTGTATTTATAGAAATCAGACAGAAAGATTTAAAAAGTGATTTTGTGCCTGGAAATAGGTAGATAATATGGAAGATGAGTATTGTTTAATTAAAAAAGTTTTCATTTGAGAAGTTAAGAGAGATACAGGGAGAGAGTGAGGAGCATGTAAGTCTGGGTGAAACATAACTCAGTCATATAGTTTGCTAGTCCATGAGAAAAACCAATAACAGATTGATTTAATTTATCAAAGGAGAAAGGAGTGGGGAGAAGAAAAAAGACATATTTGGGAATAGTAAATTTTGTTTTCCTTTCTTTGGCTAAGCTGCTGATTAACTGGCAGAAAGTGAAGAGAACAATTAGGATATTCTATGCTTGGGCACCTCGATGGGTCATCAAAGAAAACAGTTTTAGTTGTTTATGAATCTCCAGAAGACCTTGAGTGTTTAACTGTGACTTACACCTGTGTCTCTGTATTATGTCTACCACTATCCTCCTTACCACTTCCATGCCAGATCTGTATCAGAATTTCTCACTTGCTTTAATTATGTTCTTGTTTCTGTGATTTCTTTTATAATTTTTGTATTTTTTGATATGTGAGATGGCCTTTCCAAAAAGTTAATGCTAAATTTTCCTGGGGAATTGTTGGCCATATAATTATTACTTTAACATTGTGTGCTTGTGGTTTGTTAAGTTCTTAGATCAGAAAGTCTCAGTCTGGGTGAGACTATAAGGGAAATGTAAACTGCAGTGTATGCTGTGGATTTCTCTGGTGAGTTCTCCGGTAAACCAACAAAATGTATTTGCTCATGCCGAAACCGGTTTGGCTCAGTGGTAGAGCATCGGTCTGCGGACTGAAAGGTCCCAGGTTCGATTCCGGTCAAGGGCATGTACATTGGTTGCGGGCACATCCCCAGTGGGGCAGGGGGGGGGGTGGTGTGTGCAAGAAGCGGCTGGTCGATGTTCCTCTCTCAACGACTTTTCTAGCTCTCTATCCCTCTCTCCTCCTCTCTGTAAAAAATCAATAAAATATATTTAAAAAGAATGTATTTGCTCAAAGCAATTTATACTCTTTTACCTTACTGTTGCTTTGAAATTTAGGTCATGAATTTGAAATATTTTATAAATTGTCTTTTCTATAGGTAGATTTACTGTTATGTGTTTTATTATTGATGATGAATGGGAATACTGATAAATTATGTTTTCTTACAGTCAAAGGAGATTGGTTTGTTAGATGTTGATGTATATGGCCCATCAATTCCAAAGATGATGAATCTGAAAGGAAATCCAGAATTATCACAGAGTAAGTAAAGAGAGATAAATAGTATGATAATAGCTACTCAGGATAGTTTAGTAATTCTGAAATCAGATATGGAGCTAGGCTGCATGGGTTGAATTCCAGCTCTGTATAGGTTTACTTACTGTGTAGGTTTGAAGGTTTGAGTGAATTGTTTAATCTCTTTGTACCTTAACCCTATTTACCCTCCCCATATATAAAATAGGGTTAACAATTGCTGTGAGTAATCACTCAGTTACATAATTGCTGTAAGTGTAATGCATTTAATAGTGTCTGGCACATAGGAAGTGATCAAAAGTTAGCTCATCACTATTGATTCTTTATATTAAATGTGTCGATATATGGGAGTATTTGAATGGAAAGTATGTATCTGTATTAGAAAAGATGAAAATTACTTTTTCTAATCAGATTTTTATCATATTTGTCTTAAATTGTTTTTTATTTTAAACACTCAAAACATTAGTTTCTTTCCCCATTCTTCAGTACCATCAATAGGACAGAGTAATTTTTTTTTGAGTAAATTTTTAATATTTACTATTTTTGTTATTGTATGTTCTCATAAAGCTATCAAATATAAAGTTTTAAGAACAATAAATGCTATGATCCAAATGAAAAATTGAGATAACTAGTAATTTTTCTTGAAAAATGGTTTTAAGTGATATTAGTTTATTAACATTTATTTCTAATTATAATGAATATAAAATTGAATACCTTTTTGTTTCTTTTATTGAGCTTTTTATTTTCATGGATTTAGAACAAAATTACTGTATTTACTAAAGAGTATTTTTATGTGTGTTTATTTTTCCTCATTCAAAGTTAGCTATAGACATTATCTTCTATTTAAGATGCTTTTGTTTGAATTTTAGTTGCTGGAGTCAATTACAATGTTAAATTCTGGAAAATTATAAGACAATAAGAATTTTCCTTTTTAAAAAATGTATTCTTTATTGATTAAAGTATTCCATATGTCTCCTTTTTCTCCCATTAACCTCTCCTGACCACTTCCACACACAGTACATGCTCTCACCTTCCTACTGTCTGTGTCCATTGGTTAGGCTTATATGCATGCATAATACAAGTCCTTTGGTTGATCTCTTCTCTCCCCCCCCCCCCCCCCAAGGAGCCCCCCCTTCCCCCCCACCTTTCCTTCCTTCCCTCTGAGGTTTGACAGTCTGTTAGATGCTTCTATGTCTCTGGATCTATTTTTGTTCATCAGTTTATGTTGTTCATTATATTCTACAAATGAGTGAGCTCATGTGATATTTATCTTTCTCCTGGCTTATTTTGTTTAGCATAATGCTCTCTACCATTGTGTAGATGTATCACAGTTTTCTAATCCACTCATCTGCTGATGTGTGGGTACTTAGGCTGTTTCCAAATCTTAGCTATTATAAATTGTGCTGCTATGAACATAGGGGTGCATATATCCTTTCTGATTGGTGTTTCTGATTTCTTGGGATATATTCCTAGAAGTGGGATTACTGGGTCAAATGGGAGTTCCGTTTTTAATTTTTTGAGAAAATATGATTATTTTGCTACCTGTGGATACCTCTAAAATTTTTATAGTTTCCTATCTTACGTTTAAGTCCTTTATTTATTTTGAGTATATTTGTGTATGGTATAAGTTGATGGTTTAGTTTCATTTTTGGCATGTATCTGTCCAGTTTTCCCAGTACCATTTATTGAAGAGATTGTCTTAACTACATTGTATGCTGTTACCTCTTTTGTCAAGTTTTAACTGAGCATAATGGCTTGGATTGATTTTGGGTTCTCTGTTCTGTTCCATTGGTCTATATGTCTGTTCTTGTGCTAGTATCGGGCAGTTTTGAGAATGGTGGTTTTGTAATACAGCTTGATATCTGGTATTGAGATCCCTCCTACTTTGTTCTTCTTTCTCAGGATTGCTTCGGCTATTCTGGGTCTTTTTTATTCCATATTAATTTTTGGAGAGTTTGTTCTAGGTATGTGAAATATGCCATTGATATTTTAATGGGGATTGCATTGAATTTATAATTTGCTTTGGATAGAATAAGGATTTTTCTGCCGAGACTGGTTTGGCTCAATGGATAGAGCGTCGGCTTGGGGACTGAAGGGACCCGGGTTCGATTCCGGTGAAGGGCATGTACCTTGGTTGCAGGCATATCCCCAGTAGGGGGTGTGCAAGAGGTAGCTGATTGATGACTCTCTCATCGATGTTTCTAGCTCTCTATCTCTCTCTCTTCCTCTCTGTACAAAATCAATAAAATATATTTAAAAAAAAAGAATAAGGATTTTTCTTAACATTTTGAAGGAAACTTGAAGATCTAATGATTACAAAATTGACTCTAGCAGTTTTATATTTTAAGATCCACTTAATTGTTTTCTTGTTTCATGAAAATATGCACTTACTAAAGCTAACCTATTCTAGTTTCTTTGTTCTTTGTCCTTTTAGTGGAATTCATACTTAGTTTGAAACTATGTGAATGAGCTGGGATGTCAATTTTTTCCAAAGAAATAATAATGAATTTGCATATCTTAAGTGATAGACTCATTATGTCTGTTTCTTGATTAAAGTAATGTGAAAACTGCTGTATACAGCACATGAGTGATGGAAAAATGGAGCGCTTGGTATCAGTCTTTTCTTAAGTAGTTAGTCAGTCTCTGTTATCATAAATACTTGAAGCAAACTTTAATTTCTCTCTTTCTGTTTTACTGAAGCTGTAATCTTAAATTTGATTTTTGCAAATTGGCTGCCATTATATAAGCTTTCTAGTATAGATGAGCTACTGGAAATCTGAAAAGCTTAAAAAGAATACTTTGTGTGTTGACAAGCTGATTTTAAGTCCCCCAAGAAATAAACTGAACTATTAAGGCATTTAATTAAAGCAGGGGTGGGGAACCTTTTTCTACTAAAGGTCATCTGGATATTTATAACATCATTCGCAGATCATACAAAATTATCAACTTAAAAATTATTCTGCTATATTTGGTCAAACATTTAATTAACTCAACACTAATGCCTTGGCAGAGTCGGACCAAATGATTTCTCGAGCCTTATATGGCCTTTGGGCCAGACATTCCTCACTCCAGATTTAAAGGAATGTGGATTCTTTTTTTCTAAGTTTTAAATTTTTATTTATTTCAGAGAGGACGGGAGAAGGAGAGAGAGATCGAAACATCAATGATGAGAGAGAATCATTGATCGGCTATCTCCTACACACCCCCTACTGGGATTGAGCTGCAATCCTGGCACATGTTCTGACTGGGAATCTAACCATGAGCTCCTCCTGGTTCATAGATAGATGCTCAACCACTGAGCCACACCAGCCAAGCAGAATGTGAATTCTTAAAAGCCCAGCTTCTAAATTATTTTTTGATTCTTAGGTAAACTTGCCACCATTATACTAATTGGCATCATTTTGACATTTCTACATTTTATCTTGTCAATATTTTCTTTTTTACTCACTATTATAGCACATAGAATCCAATATGAAAATATCTAATTAACATGGAAGAAAAGCTGTGAAAGCTTCTTGGGCTAAAAGTGTTCCTCTCAGCTTAAAATGACAATAGTGATTTGAATATGTTGTTTAAAAAATATATTTTTATTGATTTCAGAGAGGAAGGGAGAAGGAGAAAGAGATAGAAACATCAATGATGAGAGAGTGTCATTGATCTGCTGCCTGCTGCACATCTCACACTGGGGATTGAGCCTGCAACCCAGGCATATGCCCTCACTGGGAATCGAACTGAGACCTTCTGGTTCATAGGTCGATGCTCAACCACTGAGTTATGCCATTTGGGAAATTTATATATGTTTTTATACAAAATTGTGGGGATGGAAAATATAGCTTGTTTGTAAAAAGCATATTATACAAAAACCTCAACAGATTGACACCATAATGACTGCAAATGACCAATTGCCTTGGGAAATTAATGCACATTAGAATAAAATCCATGTGCAGTTGGGAAAATTATCATCTAAGCAAGAAAGTACTTTAAAAAAAAAAAAAAGAACAAAGGAACAAATACCATTACTTGTCTTTTTTAACTTTCCAAGTAACACCATATTCAAATTTCATATTATAGTATGGGCAAATTATACCCCCAGAAATTACTGAGTGGAAAAGTTTTTAACTGAAATTGCAAGTGAATAAGTGGTAATTGCACACAAAGATGTGTTGCTGTATTTCACAAAAGTAAATATTCTTTTTTTTGTGACCATGTTAAGGATTTTTACTAAGCTTTCTAAAACTATTTTTATTGGTAGAAATAGCTGCTTTCTTTCATAGTTTTGTGATGATAAATCACATTTCAGTACTTGTGAATTTATTACTACTTTGTTTTACTAAAGAATATCTTTTAATGTACTTAGCTAATAGAAGGGGAAATGTTAAGGCCTGCGGAGAAAGGTTATTAAAATTGAAATATAAAGCAATTTTAATGAAGACTAGAGGCCTGATGCACAAAATTCATGCAAGAGTAGACCTTCCTTCCCCCCGGCTGCTGGCACCAACTTCCCTCTGGCACCCGGGAGCCAGGCGTCCCTCGCAGCACCGGCTTTGTCTGGAAGGACATCCGATCTAATTAGCATATTACACTTTTATTATTATAGATAACGTAGTACTTATTAAAGATTAAATGTGAGACTTTTTTTGAGTAAAATCCACTTGCCTTTTCTGTTGTTGGAGGATAGAAATTTTGAACCCATGACAATATTCTGCTCTATCTATCTTAAGGCATTAAGCATTTTTCACATTTAGGAATTGTGTGTGGGCTTATGAGACAGAGAAATTGTGGAAAATCAGCTTGGGCAATTGACCTTTAATAGTAGCACTCAGCTACAGTTAGAACTGCAAAGAAGCAACTAAGATTTCTTAAAAGTAATTTAAATGCATAAAGAATGATAGTGAACTCTACTTATTTCTGAAGTCTTTTTGCTGTTTTTTTCCAGGGAGTAGAATTAAGGGCGTTACTGAAGTTGTTGAGATGGATGATTAAATATTAATGCAGTGGAACTCTCAAAG